TGTTGCCTGCTTAGACTCTTGGCACTCTTAGGTGAGCAGACTTAGTCAGCCTGTGTTGCCCTAACAGCCTGAAGCTGAGCTGTCTGAAATTGGTTGGTAAATCAGAGCTCAGTGTCTGTCTAGTCAAGTCATGATAAGTCAAGTCAGAATCTGCTAAGTCAAGTCGATGCTGCCTATCCAGTATGGGGATAATCGGATCTGTATAACACTAATGGAAAAGGGGCAGAATAAGCTAGATACAGGAGTTTCTGGAACTACTTATACTAGCTGCTCTAAACTAAACTGTATATTAATCTGGTCTCAGATACCTCTCCAAGGCAGATGTTGGGGCAGATGTTGGCATGCCAAATATCTGGGTGGGTTGATCCCGTTGTGGAGGAAACCTGCAGTCATCATGCCAAAAATCCAGGTGAGCTGATCCTGTTGCATGAGATACCAGTAGTCATCATCCCAAATATCAGAGAGTTGAGACTCATTGCTGGGGTGTGTTGTCCTGTGTAGTGAGGGTCCGTAGTGCTGCACAACGGTCTCTAAGGCCTGAAAATAGCCATGGGAATACTGGGGCACTAGTTCCTCAAAGGTTTTCTCCCTTTCAAAGGCCTTCCTTTCAGCAGCTAACCTAGTTGATACTGTCTCATTAACACTGATTTGAGCCTCACTCAGTTCTCCAGGGTAAGGAAGAGAGTGGAACAACTGGCCAGATGGCTTCAGCAGCCAGCACTCTTCCTTCTCTGGTGGTGAGACCAATTCCTCATCATCAGTATCAGTGTCCAACATAAATGGTTTAGGACACTGAGACAGATCTACCATGGCCTTAGCCCTTTTGGAAGCCTTTATCCTGGCTCTCTTCTTCTGATGAAGCAGCCTGATCTTATAGCCACAAGAGGCTGGGCATCTGGACATAGTCACTTGTCCAGTCTTCCAGTCTATTTCTGGGTTATGCAGCTTAAGCCAGGTATGCCCCACAATAATGGCCCTGCTTCCCAGGTTACAGACACTAAAGGTTGCTCTCTCTGAATGGTCATGGTACCTCATGATCACATCTGTCTCCTGCCTAATAGATCCACCCTCATTGGGAGTCCCATCTACATTATAGACAGGCACAGCCCTAGGCAG